CGCAAAACTATGTGTCATGCACATATTTTTGCAGAGTTGTACGCATGATTTTTTTGACATTTTAAAACCTGTTTAAAATGCGTTAAATAAACGTGTGTAGATGCACCTAGTTTCAGGACGTCCTCACTCATGGAACTTTTCTTTTTGAAAGGAAACGTGTTGCTATTTTGTGAAGAAGAAGAAAACCAACCTCGGCCCGGCCCCCGACCACCTTGTGGCGTAAGAAAAACTTTGTCTTGCTCTCCAAACCAAAATCCCTCCGTATTAACACCCGATTCAATTCACAAACGAAATAATGCCTCTTCCGACTCCCTCCACCGCCGGATGACAGGTGGCCCCGAGGAGGCTCCCGACCCCACGACGCAGCGACATAGCAGGCGACAAAAACGAAAGCAAAGCACTCCTTGCCCAATTCTATTACTTGCCGTCCTTGATTGTCTCGTCATATAAATAGCCACGACCAACACGGGTCAAACCACCCAAGAAAACAGTTCTCGCCTCCCAATCGCTCCTCGCGTACGTACCTCATTCAATCGACCGACCTACCATGGAGACGGGCATCGGATCCGTGGACGGGCCCAAGGGGGCGCCGAGCGGCGCGGTGGCGTGCCCCGCCACGTTCCCGGCGTCGGCGCCCACCTTCGTCGGCTCCCCTTCCGCCACGCTGGGGCGCCACCTGGCGCGGCGCCTGGTGCAGATCGGCGTGAGCGACGTGTTCGCCGTGCCGGGCGACTTCAACCTGACCCTCCTCGACCACCTCATCGCCGAGCCCGGGCTGCGCCTCGTCGGCTGCTGCAACGAGCTCAACGCCGGCTACGCTGCGGACGGGTACGCGCGCGCTAAGGGCGTCGGCGCGTGCGCCGTCACCTTCACCGTCGGCGGGCTCAGCGTGCTCAACGCCATCGCCGGCGCGTACAGCGAGAACCTTCCCCTGATCTGCATCGTCGGCGGGCCGAACTCCAACGACTACGGCACCAACCGGATTCTTCATCATACCATCGGCCTCCCTGATTTCTCTCAGGAGCTGCGGTGCTTCACGCCGGTGACGTGCTACCAGGCCGTCGTCAACAACCTCGACGACGCCCACGAGCAGATCGACAAGGCCATTTCCACGGCTCTCAAGGAGAGCAAGCCGGTCTACATCAGCGTCAGCTGCAACCTCCCCGCCGTCCCCCACCCCACCTTCAGCCGCGACCCCGTCCCCTACTTCCTCGCACCAAGGTTTGTAGGAGTATGCTCCCTTCGTTCTTTTCTGCTTTTATTTTCTTGATGATACGTGTCGTGCCATGATCGATCATGCGCTGCATACATGCATGGGAAGATATATTTGACGGATGAATTGACGTGTGCAATGCATGCAGGATGAGCAACCAGATGAGCCTGGAGGCGGCCGTGGAGGCGACGGTGGCCTTCCTGGACAAGGCCGTGAAGCCGGTGATGGTGGCGGGGCCCAAGCTGCGGGTGGCCAAGGCAGGCACGGCATTCGCGGAGCTGGCCGACGCGAGCGGCTACGCGGTGGCGACCATGCCGTCGGCCAAGGGGCTGGTGGCAGAGACGCTGCCGCGCTTCCTCGGCACCTACTGGGGCGCGGTGAGCACGGCCTTCTGCGCCGAGATCGTCGAGTCGGCGGACGCCTACCTCTTCGCCGGCCCCATCTTCAACGACTACAGCTCGGTGGGCTACTCGTTCCTGCTCAAGAAGGAGAAGGCGGTGATCGTGCAGCCCGACCGCGTCACCGTCGGCAACGGCCCGGCCTTCGGCTGCATCATGATGAAGGACTTCCTGACTGAGCTGGGCAAGCGCCTCAAGAAGAACACGACGGCCTACGAAAACTACAAGAGGATCTGGGTGCCGGAGGGGCACCTGCCCGAGAGCGAGCCCGGCGAGCCGCTGCGTGTCAACGTGCTCTTCAAGCACATCCAGAAGATGCTCACCGGCGACAGCGCCGTCGTCGCGGAGACGGGCGACTCGTGGTTCAACTGCCAGAAGCTCAAGCTCCCCGACGGCTGCGGGTATGTATGATTTACTTCTTGTTAACACGTCCTGCTGAGTTGATATGAGCAGCCTTGTGATCCGTGCGTGCAGGTACGAGTTCCAGATGCAGTACGGCTCCATCGGCTGGTCGGTCGGGGCGCTGCTCGGCTACGCCCAGGGCGCCACCGACAAGCGCGTCATCGCCTGCATCGGCGACGGCAGCTTCCAGGTAACGGCGCAGGACGTGTCCACCATGCTCCGCTGCGGCCACAACAGCATCATCTTCCTCATCAACAACGGCGGCTACACCATCGAGGTCGAGATCCACGACGGGCCCTACAACGTCATCAAGAACTGGAACTACACCGGCCTCATCGACGCCATCCACAACGGCGAGGGAAACTGCTGGACCGCCAAGGTGACGTGCGAGGAGGAGCTGACGGCGGCCATCGAGACGGCGACCGGGGACAAGAAGGACTGCCTGTGCTTCATCGAGGTGGTGGCGCACAAGGATGACACCAGCAAGGAGCTCCTCGAGTGGGGATCCAGGGTCTCCGCCGCCAACTCCAGGCCACCCAACCCGCAGTAGACACCAGTAGCAGATCTAGATTTTTGATGATTTGAGCCAGGCATTTTCGATTTACTAGAATCTGTTTCTCATTTGGGTTTTCAATGTATTCTAATCTGTTTCTCATTTTTAACACCGTTTCTATTTATTCTTATCAACTAAATGATCTCTACTCCTAATGTCTCAGTTGGTAGTCTCCGTTCCGTGTTTATTTTCGTCCCACCTCCCGGGTGAGAAAGAGGGGGAGAGAGAGTGAGGAAGAGGGAGGGAGAGGGTGTGTGTGTGAGAATTTAATGATAAAAAAGGTCGTCAATGTCACTTAATATGTATGAGAATATTAAATGTAATATTAACATAATTGATATTGAACTTTTAAAGTTAATATGGCCCCGTTGCAACGCACGGGCGTTCTTCTAGTTATCCACTAATATCAGTATAAGTTAAAAATGAGGAGGATCGTGCCTGCAGGGAGGAAAACATTGGGTGTGCCACAACCCGGACGTGCAAATGCTAGAAGGAGAACCATTCTCCTCTACATCCAAGCCGTGCCACAACACGGGGATGACGTAAACCGGCCAGCGGAGCACGAGCACGGCAGGGCAGCAACAACTGAAGGATAGCAGGGCACAGCACCTCATCTCCACCACCGCCGGAAACCCGAGCAAGCACTGCACCGTAGCCGCCACCAACCAAGAACTGCAGGCACCCAACCCAACCCCTACCCCTAGCCGACGCCTCCAAGGAGGACCACGACGATGGAGCGCCGTCGACAGCCGGCCAAAGCCTAGATTTTCACCTGGGAAAAACAGGGGAGGGGAGGTGGAGGGAGGGAAACTCAATGCGCCCTCAGGAGGGGAGTCAGAGCCGATGCACCGCCGTCGTCGAGGTCGATGCAGAATCGACCAGGGGATTCCCCCGTTCCAAGCTTCCTCCACCGCACCTCAGGGGCCAGATCTTGCAGCACGGACGCATTGAATCCAGACCGATGAGAGGATGCAGAACAGATGGAAGGGGCCGGAGATCCGATCTGGCGGAGCCATCAGAGCAGCCCGCAACAACGAGGCACCTCCACCATCCAACCGCCGCCCGCACGGCCGGAGGGACGGCCATCACCCACAGCGCCCTCCACCGGAGAGAGTGGCGCCGCCCACCAGATCGAGGGCCGCCGCCCCGGCAACCAGAGCTCCCTGCGCGGATGCAGGGCAGCAAGGCCTCGCCACCACCTTCACGGGGGCCGCACGGTGGCCGGCGGCGCCCTCAGGTGGCGGCGGGGAAGGGGAGGCGAACGAGAGAGGGGGCTCGGGAGGCTAGGGTTTGGTCGCCCCCGAGTCGCCCACTCGGGGCGACGCGAGAGCCGCGGGAGGAGGGGGGCTGAGACTCACACTTTTCCCTATTCAATTCTGACACTGGATTTCATCGAGCGCCATTATTAACTCATTGGAGATCCATTGAGATTGAGTGGCCAGCTAGCTAACAGGCATCGCTAACAGAACCATGGCCGCCGCTCTGGGTGCGTCTTCTCGCCTCGTCGGCCCCGTGCCGTTCAAGGACACCATCGACGGTGGTGGCGACGACGGCGACCACGTCATCTCCCTGTAAGAAGAGTACGTGGACGTCATCTCTGCCATGCCCACACCACCATAGGCGCAGGCAACCTGTTGCGGCAGTGCCAATGTTGGGGAACGTAGTAATTTCAAAATTTTCCTACGCACACGCAAGATCATGGTGATGCATAGCAACGAGAGGGGAGAGTGTTGTCCACGTGCCCTCGTAGACCGAAAGCGGAAGCGTTAGCACAACGCGGTTGATGTAGTCGTACGTCTTCACGATCTGACCGATCCAAGTACCGAACGCACGACACCTCCGAGTTCAGCACACGTTCAGCTCGATGACGTCCCGCGAGCTCCGATCTAGCAGAGCTTCACGGGAGAGTTCCGTTAGCACGACGGCATGGTGACGGTGATGATGTTGCTACCGACGCAGGGCTTTGCCTAAGCACTGCTACGATATGACCGAGGTGGAATATGGTGGAGGGGGGCACCGCACACGGCTGTGAGAGATCAACTGATCAACTTGTGTGTCTAGAGGTGCCCCCCTACCCCTGTATATAAAGGAGCAAGGGGGGAGGCCAGCCGGCCCTCTATGGGCGCGCCAGGAGGAGGAGTCCTCCTCCTGGTAGGAGTAGGACTCCCCTTTCCTACTCCTACTAGGAGGAGGAAAGGAAGGAGGAGAAGGAGAAGGAAGGAGAAGGAGGAAAAGGAGGAAAGAGGGGTCGGCCCCCTAGTCCAATTTGGTTTGGGCTAGGGGGGCGCGCGCCCTACCTCCTCTCTTCCACCACTTGGCCCATGAGGCCCATTACTTCTTCCTCGTATTCCCGTAACTCCCCGGTACCCCCGAAAAATACCCGAATCAGTCGGAACCTTTCCGATGTCTGAATATAGTCGTCCAATATATCGATCTTTACGTATCGACCATTCCGAGACTCCTCGTCATGTCCCCGATCTCATTCGGGACTCCGAACTACCTTCGGTACATCAAATCATATAAACTCATAATACAATCGTCACCGAAACTTTAAGCGTGCGAACCCTACAAGTTCGAGAACTATGTAGACATGACCGAGACATGTCTCCGGTCAATAACCAATAGCGGAACCTGGATACTCATATTGGCTCCCACATATTCTACAAAGATCTTTATCGGTCAGACCGCATAATAACATACGTTGTTCCCTTTGTCATCGGTATGTTATTCGCCCGAGATTCGATCGTCGGTATCTCAATACCTAGTTCAATCTCGTTACTGGCAAGTCTCTTTACTCGTACCGTAATGCATCATCCCGCAACTAACTTATTAGTTGCAATGCTTGCAAGGCTTAAGTGATGTGCATTACCGAGAGGGCCCAGAGATACCTCTCCGACAATCGGAGTGACAAATCCTAATCTCGAAATATGCCAACCCAACAAGTACCTTCGGAGACACCTGTAGAGCACCTTTATAATCACCCAGTTATGTTATGATGTTTGGTTGCACACAAAGTGTTCCTCCGGTAAACGGGAGTTGCATAATCTCATAGTCATAGGAACATGTATAAGTTATGAAGAAAGCAATAGCAATAAACTAAATGATCAAGTGATAAGCTAATGCAATGGGTCAAGTCAACCACATCATTCTCCTAATGATGTGATTCCATTAATCAAATGACAACTCATGTTGGCTAGGAAACATAACCATCTTCGATCAACGAGCTAGTCAAGTAGAGGCATACTAGTGACACTCTGTTTGTCTATGTATTCACACATGTATTATGTTTTTGGTTAATACAATTCTAGCATGAATAATAAACATTTATCATGATATAAGGAAATAAATAATAACTTTATTATTGTCTCTAGGGCATATTTCCTTCAGTCTCCCACTTGCACTAGAGTGAATAATCTAGTTCACATCGCCATGTGATTTAATACCAATAGTTCGCATCACCATGTGATTAACACCCATAGTTCACATCGACATGTGACCAACACCCAAAAGGTTTACTAGAGTCAATAATCTAGTTCACATCGCTATGTGATTAACACCCAAAGAATACTAAGGTGTGATCATGTTTTGCTTGTGAGAGAAGTCTAATCAACGGGTCTGCCACATTCAGATCCGTAAGTATTTTGCAAATTTCTATGTCAACAATGCTCTGCACGGAGCTACTCTAGCTAATTGCTCCCACTTTTAATATTTATCCAGATTAAGACTTTGAGTCATCTGGATCAGTGTCAAAATTTGCATCAACGTAACCCTTTACGATGAATCTTTTGTCACCTTCATAATCGAGAAACATATCCTTATTCCACTAAGGATAATTTTGACCAATGTCCAGTGATCTACTCCTAGATCACTATTGTACTCTCTTGTCAAACTCAGGGTAGAGTATACAATAGGTCTGGTACACCGCATGGCATACTTTATAGAACCTATGGCTGAGGCATAGGGAATGACTTTCATTCTCTCTCTATCTTCTACCGTGGTCGCGTTTTGAGTCTGACTCAACTTCACACCTTGTAACACAGGCAAGAACTCCTTGTTTGACTGTTCCATTTTGAACTACTTCAAAATCTTGTCAAGGTATGTACTCATTGAAAAAACTTCTCAAGCGTCTTGATCTATCTCTATAGATCTTGATGCTCAATATGTAAGCAGCTTCACCGAGGACTTTCTTTAAAAAAACTCCTTTCAAACACTCCTTTATGCTTTGCAGAATAGTTTGACATTATTTCCGATCAACAATATGTCATTCACATATACTTATCAGAAATGTTGTAGTGATCCCACTCACTTTCTTGTAAATACAGGCTTCACCGCAAGTCCGTATAAAACTATATGCTTTGATCAACTTATCAAAGCGTATATTCCAACTCTGAGATGCTTGCACCAGTCCATAGATGGATCGCTGGAGCTTGCATATTTTGTTAGCACCTTTAGGATTGACAAAACCTTCTGGTTGCATCATATACAACTCTTTTTTAATAAATCCATTAAGGAATGCAGTTTTGTTTATCCATTTGCCAGATTTCATAAAATGTGGCAATTGCTAACATGATTCGGACAGACTTAAGCATAGATACGAGTGAGAAACTCTCATTGTAGTCAACACCTTGAGCTTGTCGAAAATCTTTTTGCGACAATTCTAGCTTTGTAGATAGTAACACTACTATCAGTGTCCATCTTCCTCTTGAATATCCATTTAATCTCAATGGCTGACCGATCATTGGGCAAGCCAATCAAAGTCCATACTTTGTTCTCATACATGGATCTCATCTCAGATTTCATGGCCTCAAGCCATTTCGCGGAATCTGGGCTCATCATCGCTTCCTCATAGTCCGTAGGTTCGTCATGGTCAAGTAACATGACCTCCAGAACAGGATTACCGTACCACTCTGGTGCGGATCTCACTCTGGTTTACCTACGAGGTTCGGTAGTAACTTGATCTGAAGTTACATGATCATCACCATTAGCTTCCTCACTGA